AGCGAAGCGGCCCGAGCCACCCAGGGACTGCAGCAGGGCGGCCAGAAGCAGCAGCAGCGGGGCCATAGAAGGCGGGGCGCTGCTGTGCGGGGCCCGCGTCCCGCTCTCCAGGGCTCCGCTCCCTCTGGGGCTACCCTGCCCCAGCTCCTCAGCCCCCTACCGGCTCTGCCCCTCATTCCCCCGGCTCTGCCCTCCCGGGTCCCGGCCAGTCCTGGAGGCAGGATCCCTGGCTGGGGGGACCCTGGGCTGAGGCGCGGCCCGGGAGCCCCGCTGCTTACCCCGACTCTTCCAGTGCCGGACCGGCTGGAGGCAAGGGGGGAGTGGGTGGAGTCAGCACTACTGGGGGGGGAACCCAGGGCTGGGGCGGCAGGGGGTGCGGGTAGGGGGGAGAGCCCAGCACTGGGACAGCAGGGGGTGTGGGTGGGGTGGGGTGAGAGGAAAAGCCCAGAGCTGGGGCGGCAGGGGGTGTGGGTGGGGTGGGGTGGGGGGGAGAGAGAGCCCAGGGTTGAGGCGTCAGGAGGTGCAGGGGGCGGGAGTGAGAGCCCAGGGCTGGGGTGGGGGACAGCCAAAAATTTTTTTGCTTGGGGTGGCAAAAAACCTAGAGCCAGCCCTGACTGCTATGTATACCCATGCTAGGCTTGTATGCACTATATGTATTCTACACACCTCTGTAAGTGTAGTCATAGCCTTAGAGGATCTGGGAACTAGGGATAGAGAAGTCAAATGAGGCTATGTCTTCACTTGGGGGTGGGGGAATCGATTTAAGATACGCAAATTCAGCTGCGCGAATAACGTAGCTGAATTCGACGTATCTGAGCCGACTTACCCCCGCTGTGAGGACGGCGGCAAATCGACCGCCACGGCTCTTACTCCTACCTGCGCTGGTGGAGTACAAGTGTTGATTCGGGGATCAATTGTCGCGTAGACTGATTTGCCCAAATTCATACAGTGAATTAATGACAGTGCCAGGAATATAACTCAGATTTCCTGAATCCCATTTCAGGGTCCTGCCCATTGGGCAACACTGCCTCCTAAATACATGCAGACTTTTACAGACTATAGAATTCACTACTACAATAGGTCACAGTTAGCCACTGGAATAGAATTTAAAAGGGAACTGGATACTCATAACAAGTAGTTACATTTGTAGTTGTATGTACTTCAGCAAGGGTAATAAAAACTCGTGCTTTGGGGCATCAACTGGTCACCATAGGAGTCAGAAGGAATTTTTCCTCCCATGTACAAGATGGTCACTTGGCCAGGTACATTGTGGAGAAGAGGAAGGGGCTGCCTTCCTCATGGATCAGTGCCCTAGTCTGGTGTAGCAAATGTTATCTTCTAGTTATATATTTGTATATAATTATAGTATATTGTCATAAACCGTGATAAGGTTTAATTTTCTAGCATTATTTGCATTAAATCCAGCAGAACTAGGACCTGATCAAGCAAAATGCTGAACAACCTCAACTCCCATTAGTGCCAGGGGAAGTTGAGCTTGTTCAGCATCTTTCAGAACTAGCCCCATTATACGTAATAGTGGATACAAGGGTCCTCAGCCAGAAAAGATTAATCTCCAGGCCTCTTTGCTACTATCCTGTCATTTCAGTGCTTTGTGCAAAGATTTAAAACTGCAGTAACATTCCACTGTGAGGACTTATAGCATTGATTTCTTTTTTTGTTCATTCTTTCCCCTTCTCTGCTTGTTATTCACCTAGTCTTGTATACATATGATGGATATTCCCTTCTAGGGGCTGTACGTCTCCCCATGTGCTGTCCATATGCCTCATGGAAAAAAACAGTGGAGTTGAAAAAAACTATAGAATATGATTGTCCCAATCTAATATATCAATTATAACCTCTTACACACACGGGTCAAATTTTCCTCTCATTTACACTAGATGAGATCCACTGCAGACCATAAAGTTTCCACTGGTTTGTTTGGAGAGGGGAAATTTGCTCATAAGTTTGGACCATCTTCTGATAACCTTACTCGTTCAGAACCGCCACTGAACTGACAGCTTAGTCACATTTTCAGGATAATGCCCATTGTCACCAAGTGAACGGCTCTAATGCTCCTTTCTGTTGTACTAATTCTCCTTTTGAGTAATTTTCATTGATAGACAAAAGTTATTACGGTAAAGGGCAGACAAGTACATTTTGTTTCTGTGCTGGTAGATTTTCATGACTATCTTTCAGAGCTGTGTGGACACGAGGTGAAAAATCATGGGCCAAATCCTTAGCTGGTGTAAATTAGCATCCCTCCATTTCTGAAGTCAAGGAAGATATGCTAATGTACTCTAGCCCCATATGTTTAAACAAATGTCCTTACCTGTGTTACGAATAATATTTTGGAGAATTTAGACTGATTTTACAAATCTCACTCACTCTTTATGCTTTTTTGCCTTTCACTGACCAATGAAAATAAACTAGTGAATCTCACGTTCTAGTTCTCATACGCTAACCCCAAGCTACAGTCCCCCAAAGCAACAGTTTTGGGGCTGCAAACCTAGGAGGGGCATATTTTCATTTAAAAAGAAAAATATCCTTTTCATTTTAATGCTTTTTTTAAAAATTGAAGCATTTCTATCTATTTTGTGCCTCAATCAACCTCACAAATTCCACTGGCTCCCAACAGCAAATCAGCTTTTTTAGTACTTCAGAAACACAGGAAGTTGCAAATTCAGTGGTCCCTTCCAGCTTTTCTTCAGCCAGAAGCATGAGTGAGCAGCTCCGGTGGATGGTACCACTTTGAGCCCTCCATTGTGGATGTCTCCTCTACTTCATACACAGAGCGAAGGTCTGGTACTAGGACAGCATTCCCTTCCAGAATACCACCACCTCTGTGAACTAAAGCTGTTCTTTGAAGTACAACAGAGATTGAACCAAACCAAACATCCAGATCTGGCTACTGCAGAAGTTTAGGGAAGTGCAGATCTGGATACCAGCTTTGTAGCTCAGGCTCATCTTTTAGTAGAAGGTATCCTGGAGAAATAATGTATAAAAATGTTTTGTTACAACACATTGCAGAGGAGCCTTATTCTCAGGGTTTCATTCAATTTACTCTTTATTGTCTCTTAAATTTTCTTGAAGACAGTATATAGGGTACAAAGATAAAACATAGCTACTGTGCATGTATGTGTATAAGAGACATGACAGCTCAGTCTGTTCTGTGTTTGGGTAAAAAAACCCATAAAAATTCGAATTGCAAAACGTGGAAACCGGTCCGCTTTAGAAGAGTGTAGGGAATGGCAGAGGGGAGTTTCATGTTTGCTGGCAAATCCAAGGGCCGTATTTGGCTCTGCATAAGGGGGTGCAACAGGCATTGACTTTAGTGAAGAGAGTATAGTCTAGTGGATAGGACATGCTGGATGGAGAGTCAAAAGATTTGGATTCTGTCCTGGCTGGCTGTTTAGATTGTATGTTCGTTGGGACAGGGTCTGTCTCTTACAACACGCATGTTCAATGCCTAGCACAATAAGGTCCCAACCTCAACTGGGACTTTTAGGTGCTATTGTAGAGCTACTCTAATAATAAATAGTAATGTCAGACTTGAATTTGGTCCCTGTCATCTTCTAGCTTAGTGTCTTTTTTCAGTTTCATCTTTCTGGAGAAGTGTTGCCCTGGGAGCCATCTGAACTCTAGCTAGTAGGTTTGGCCCCACTGCTGACAAATAAATACCCAGGCCAGAAATTATGGATAGCTAGTGCAAACATGAAAATTTATAGAAGTGCTTTTAAAAACTGTGGTGCAGCTCACAAACATGTGATGGCCTTTGAAACCTCAGCAGCAGCAGCTTATCTGCTGGGCTTTGTCAAGTCCCAAGAAGCTGTTGGCACTTTTATCTCTTCATTGTATTTTAGTAAGGTGCATGAACTCAGATCAGAGAGGCTAAATATGTTATGCTGCCAGAACTCCTTTACAGAACCCAAATGCCAGAGGTTTGCCAGGTTTGAAAGGGTTCATTGAGGTCACTCCCTCTTCCAACCTCAGGAGGCCTTTCTAGCTCCCTCCTTCCCTATAAGTTCAAACAACATCAGTCCATAATGTAAACTCCCATCTTCTCTTATCCCCCAACCCCAAGTGGCTACTTCTCCATGGCTTTCCTCATTCTCAAATCTCCAGCTCCTCGCATTGGCTCTCTGGCCTTTTAGAAATTTTCATAATGCAACCCAGCCCGTCTCTTTCCCCCTGCCCAGCTCAGGTAGCCAGTGCATTGAAATTCCATCTGCTTATAGATGTCTCCATTACATGCACCTCTGAGGCCTTATCCAGTTCCCATGGAAGTCAACAGTAATTTTTCCCCCATGGGTTAAAATCCACAGCATGGGAATCCAGCACAAAGTTTGTTTACCAGGTGTTTTATAAAAGAATAAATTAATCCTACCATTTCCCTTCATTTTTGCTGGATTATCCTTATACCTCATTCATGATTTTTTTTTTCATTAGCATAATTCTGCTGCACCAAATGTTCTGCAGGTCCACAAAAATGTGAGCTGTGATGTGCAGTAGTCAGACTGTAGCAGTGGGAGCCAGAAATTCCTGAGTTTTAATCCCCACTGTGGTGATAATGATTCATTCTGTGACTTTGGGCGCCTGGTCATTTTACCTCAGGTTACTCATTAAATGGGGGATAATAACAGAGCTCACAGGGATGTTGTCAGGGTTAGTCCCTGGTAGAAAGTGCTTTGAAGATGAAAAGCACTACATAGATCTTGTGATTACATGGACTATTGTTGTTTAAGGCACTTCTTATTGAGAGTCCTCAAATGTTTCTGTGAGGCTCAAAAATGTTGCGACATGAAAACTTCCCTTCTGAAAACCATTCAAAGTGTTATAGGGTACAGTATATTCCATCACCAGCAGGAAAGGGGTAAGTCCAATGCAGACTCATCTGTTGTCTTTACTGGCAACCTTTGTGCCCAATTACCTAAGTAGATATTGTGGTCTTCTTTTTAATGCCATCGAAACTTATGTCTGTGCCTCTCGTTCTTGTGTTTTAGATCCTGGCGGTCCTATGAAACTGCCTTGTATGCCAGTTAAACTATCGCCTCCGCTACCTCCAAAGAAAGTCATGATTTGCATGCCTTTAGGGGGGACAGACCTCTCTCTTGGGTCCTATTCCATGCAGAAGAGTTCCCAGCAGCCTTTGGCTCCACACCACCACTCTGTACTGCCATCCCAATTAGCAGCGCACCAGCACCAGCTTCCGTATGGCAGCCACAGCCAGCATCTGCCTTCTGGATCCAGCTCATTACCTATTCACCCTTCAGGGTGCCGGATGATAGATGAATTGAACAAGACACTGGCCATGACCATGCAGAGGCTAGAAAGGTAATGGTTGATTTTTAAAAATATTAATTTATATTGTGTCATTACAGCATCAGAACATAACATCATACAATAATACATTGCACTTACAGAGGGCCTTTCATCTGAAGATGCAAAATCTTTTACAAAGCTAAGTCATTATTTGGGAAACTGAAGCACAGAGAGATTAAGTGACTTGCCCAAGTTGATGCAGTGAGTTAGTAGCAGAGTCAGGAATAAACCTCAAGTGTCCTGAATCAGTCTCCTGCTCTAGCCATTAAATTTTGATGAAAAGAACAAGGAGTACTCATGGCACCTTAGAGACTAACAAATTTATTTGGGCATAAGCTTTCATGGGCTAAAACCCACTTCATCGGATGCATGCAGTGGAAAATGCAGTAGGAAGATAGATATATATATATATATATATATATATATATATATATATATACA